GGGGCAGCACCAGGGGCTCCGGCAGGCGGGTGACGCGCCGCACCCCTCGGGGGAACGGCTGGGGCGCCCGGGTCCCGATCCTTCCGTCGTGCGGCGGAGCGAGCGCGGAGCCCAGGATGGGCGAGCGGGGAAGCCGGCGCAGCGCCCCCGGGACCCCCGCCCCGAACAAAGAGAGGGGCGGAGCGGCCCCGCGCCCCGGCGGCCTTTCGCGCCGTGGCCTGCGGGAGGGGAGGGGGTTCGGGGGCCCGGGGCGGGCGGCAGCAGGTGGGTAAGTCCCGGCGCCAATGAGCAGGCGCTGGGCTCCCCTAGCAACAGTGCCCGCGCCAATGGGCGCCGCGAGCCGCCCGCACCGCTGCCCGCAGCGCTGCCCGGCATCCCGGCTCGGCCCCACCGCGGCCGGCCAGCCCTTCCGTGCCGCGCCGCCGGTCCCCGGGGCCGGCAGAGCCCTGCTCTCACTCCGCACACCGCCGCCCATCCCCACCAAGGCCGGAGCGTCGCGCCCGGGCTCTGCGGGTAAAGTCCAATCCTGCTTAGCGTCCCCCCGGGGGCTCGAGTAGGGGGGAGTAGCCCGCTCCCTACCCGCCTGCTTCCTTGGGATTAGGCTCCGTGCTCGGATTCCCCACGGGGATTTGCCGTGGCTGGTGTTGCCTGCCCCAGCCAAAGGGAGGAAGGAGGCTGTCGGCAGGGGATGAGATGCCAGTGGAGCCCGTTCTGGGCAGCAGCAAGATGCTGGGCAACAGGAAGCCATGCCTGCAGCCTTTGCCCTCTTCCCAGAGCGCTGTTTTTGTGAGCTGTCCTGAACTGGCCGCATAAACTTGGCACTTGGAAGGGGTGATGCTGGCCTGGGGACAATTTGTGACAATAAACCCATTCTAAACCAACTGAGCCTATAAAGGGACTAGGGGAGTGAAGGGGTGATGGAACTGGCTCCAGGTGGGAGCAGGCAGACGGATGCTGTAATTAGGTTTAAACTGAAGCTGGATCAGTCTTTGCAGGGGATTATGACCCCTCCATCTGTGTAGGCGCTGCGGGGGGCCCGGTAACTGTTTGCTCAGCATCCCGGCATAGCCACAGCCTTATGGGTGAGCCCTTGGGTAAGGGGCAGTGCCAGCTACAGCTCCTGCCCTTCCAACCCCATGGATTGGCATGGGAGGGCTGGATCTAGTGTGAAGGCCCAATTTGTTTTTACAAGGACAGTGGGAGCTGGAGCAGAGATGAAAAATAGCCAGAAATATGATTAGAGGATTGGAGAAAATGCCTTGGAGTACAAGCTTAAAGAGCTCAATCTGTTTAGCCTATAAAAATAGAAGACTGAGGGGTGACTTAATTACTGAGCATAATTACTTCACAGGCAGAAAATACCAAGTTGTGGAAGTCTCCTGTTAATCGAACAGGAAAAGGGTGCCGGAGAGGCATGGGCAGGAAATTGAAGCCACAGACAAATTATTAAGCGACACAAAGCTCCTGGGGATACAGGCAGACTCTGGGGACAGCACATCCCTTCAGCCACACGTTGGGTGACAGTCTGCTCCCCCACTGATGAGGCTGTTCCCCCATTCCCTCCGTTCCTTACCCGCATATTGGGGGCACAGAGCAGGATTTCTGCTAGCCAGGTGCTGAGGGGTGGGATCAGCTGGGCGTGTGCCACCAGTTCCTCCATTCTCCTTGTCTCTCCCACCAGGTGGGGCGGGTGCCAGGACACAGTTCTGCCGGCGGGCTGTGAGGCAGGAGTGGAGATTTTGATGCCTCTCCCAGGAGTCCCCAGAGCCATGACTGCAACTGTGCAGACGCTGCGGTTCAAGCTGCTGCCGCACGAGCCAGGCCAGGAGTGGGGGCACAGCTGCCAGCAGGAAATTGAGCGTCGCTACCAGGTGGTGCCCTCAGTGGTGTGCGCCATGTGCTGCCTTTTTGGCATCATCTACTGCTTCTTCGGTGAGCCAGGCCAGCCCAAGTGCTGGTGGGGCAAATGGGGAGGAGGGTAGAGGGGAGCTGGGGGGTGCTGACCATCCACTCCCTGACTATGGTGGTCTCTCCACAGGCTACCGCTGCTTCAAGGCTGTCATGTTCCTGACGGGGCTGATGTTCGGCTCTATCATCATCTTCATGCTGTGCTACAAGGAGCGGGTGCTGGACACACAGCTGAGCGTGGAGGCCTCAGTGGGCATTGGCTTGGGCATCGGAGTCTTGTGTGGGCTGGTCACCATGCTGGTGCGCAGCGTTGGCCTCTTCATGGTGGGGCTGCTCCTGGGGCTGCTGCTGGCGGTGGCCACGCTGGTGGTGATGGAGCAATTCTACCACCCACCAACGGTGTGGATCCCCATCGCACTGCTCTTGGGTGTGGGGATGCTCTTTGCTGTGCTCACGCTGCAGTGGCAGCGCTTCTTCACCACCCTGTCCACCGCCGTCTTCGGCAGCGCCATCATGACCGTCACTGTCGACTACTTCATCGAGCTCTTCCTCCTGGTGCAGTACATCTATGAGCGCATCAAGGTGGCCCCTGCTCGCCCTGTGTGCTGGTACAGCTGGGTCATCCTGGGCATCTGGCCGCTCCTCACCACGCTGGGTGTCCTGGTCCAGTGGAAGGTCACAGGCGAGGGCTACTCCCATACAGAAGGTGTGTGGGGAGTGGGGCAGATGGGCATGGCACAGGGTCAGTGTAGGAGCTGGGAACCTGGGGACTGGGGTGCATGTTTCCAGCATGGGGTTCCCAAGATCACATAGCGGGTTCAGGACTCTGTGGCGGCACACCACCCAAGGGACACCTGGTTGCACAGAGTTGGTGCTGGTTTGGCTGCGGGGATCATTTGGATGTGCTCCCCGGTGCTCACAGGCCGCTTTGCTCCACAGTGATCATCAGCCGGCAGCAGCGCCGCGTGCAACTGATGCGCATCAAGCAGCGGGAAGACCGAAAGGAGAAGAAGAAGAAGCGGAGACCCCACCACCCACCACCCCACCAGCACAAAGCCCACCCCCCCGAGCCTGCTTACCGCCGCAAGCCCAACCCTGTGCGCCGCTTTGATGGGGACGTGCTCTCCCCCGTGAGTCCCGCAGCCAGGGTAGAGATCTCCCCCAGTCCCCACAGTCATTCCTTCTCCGTGTCGGGGGGCTGGGGCACCAGCTAACATCTGAGCTCCTCGAGGGATGAGACGGGGGTGTCTCAGGGACTAAGCAAGTTAGAATGGGCCATTCCTACCATGGAGCACTTCAGCCTTTGCAAGCAAATGAAAACTGCTGGCCAAGAGCACTGTTGGCATAGCAGAAATAAGCAGTAGGCAAGGTGCAGAATGCCCAGGGGAGGGATAAGGCTGTGCTCCCTGCTGTGGCCAGCCACTGGAGAGCCCGAGTGCTGGGGATTTCACTGGGCTGCTTTTGTGGGGGAGGCAGGGAGGAGCTGCAGCAGAATTTAGGGTGAGGTGGAGTGGTCCAGGAGCAGAGCCCCCCTCACTTTCTGTTCCTCTCTCACAGAGCTACATCCAGAGTTTCCGAGAGCGGCAGACAGGACCGTCGCTGAACAGCCTCATCGCCAGCTCCCATGCCGTGGTGGACCTGGACTATGACTGCAGCTCCACCGTGCCCCTCACCTCGGCCTCTGGCCCTGCTGTGAGGGTATAAGCCAACCCAGTGACCTCGAGCAACACCAGCACCCCAGCCTGCTCTGACAGAACCCCCTGAGACAGGCAGGGCTTTGTCCTCGGCCCCAAATGGCCACATGCGGCTTGGGGCTGCAGATGGAAACCCTTCTTGGAGACACATGGGACTTGTCTGGGGAAGCCCCAGCTGCCAGTGGGGCCCAAAGGTGCTGGGGAAGCCCTTTGGCAGGGACTCAGCCCAAGGACCAGAACCCATGGACGTGCAGTGCGAGTGGCTCTGCTGGGGTGGTGGGTCCTGAGCCCCCACTGCTGTGCATTACCCTGTGGCCCGGGCACGCTCATCCTGCATCTTAACGTTTCCCCATATTTGAGTCCCCCCCCTTCCCAGGAGCAGCTCCCCACCCCATTGCACCCCCAGCAACTCCCCAAGTGCCTGTCCCCTATGTCCCTTCCTCAAAGAGCAGGTCCTATGGCCCTTTCCCAGCAGGGAATCAATCCCCTGAGCATGTGAGCCCTGTCCCACCCTGTCCCCAAGAGCAGCTCCCAGGCAGTGCTTCCCAAAACCTGCCTCCTCAGAAGATCCTCCTGCCCTAGCCACCCTCCCTACACCCCAGAGCAGCTTGCCACTCCTTTTTCCCAAGCTGGACCGGGGTGGTCCTGGGGCAGAGACTGCCACAGCCAGGTGGTTCCCAAGGTGATGCTGGCAATCGGTGCCTGTCCAGCAGGAGCTGCGCTGGCAGGGTGCATCCCCCACAAAATGTTTTGATGGGAGACAGGACATTGGCTCCAGCCTTTGGGCAAAGGCTGGGCTGCCTCAGGGATGCGGGGACCCCTGCAGCATCAGAGACCGTCGCTGTTTTGCTGGCGACTGGATTTTTATAGTGGCCAGGGGACCCTGGGGCAGGGCAGGGCAGGAGCCCCTGCCCAGAGCACTGCTGCGGGCAGAGGCTCACGCCTTGTATATATTTCTCTTGCTGTGATTTGTATTAACTTATTACGGAGTGAGCCAGGATTTCCCCATGGCCAGGCAGGCAGGATGGTGGTGAGACTGGACCGGGGAGCCCTCTGCTATGGGAGCCCCCCCAGCCCAGCCCAGCTGGCCCCGCTGCCCCAGGAACTGCATGTTTCTGCCAGGCACCCCCTTTCTGCAGCGTTGTGCTGCCATCCCCCTTTTCAGTCTCTTTTGTAAATGTGCCAAACGCTGTTGAGGCCTCGGCCACACAGTAAAGAGCCTTTCGGAGTCTGGCGTGCAAAGCCAAGGACTGTGGGGGGGCAGGGGTGAGGGGAGCCCAGAGGGCCGGGCTTCCAGGGATGCTGAGCAGGATATAGAGTGGTGCCATCACCTTTTCTCTTAACGGGACCCCAGCTCGCTGGTGTGGAAGGAGCCATGTCAGAAAAAAAAGGCTGTTTAATGCAGAGCCCTGAGGCTGGGGCAGGCTGGGGATGGTGTCCATGTGTCTGTCTGTGGCAGGGGGAGCATGACCCCATCTCTCAGCAGTGGCATCCCAGTCTGCGTGCAGGCCCTGAGAACTGCATCCTGGCTTCTAGCTCCCTGTGGGAACAACGGGAGTCAGAGTGAGCTGGGGCATTGTCAGAGCAGTTGGGCACCCAAAAGGCGTGTCCCAGGCAAGGAGGAGCAGACCCCTGACCAGCCTGCTCCCTGCTGCCCAGCACTCAGACTCTTGCAAGCAATGGGGGACAGGGACACAGGTTCTGGTGTCCCTTTAGGTGCCCACTCACCCTCCACAAGGAGCCGGGCCGTGGAGCGGTCGTCGAAGGCGTCGCAGGTGTACGAGTCCTCGTCCTCAGGGCCCACGTGGTGAATGATGAGTGTGCGGTAGCAGTCCAGGTTGCAGATCTCATACTTGTCACCAGCAAAGATCTCGGTGTCCCCACGGAGCCAGCGCACCCGGCCCCGGGCATGGGACACAGTGCACTCCAGCGTCGCCTTGTGCCTTGCCAGCACCGTCTTGTCCCGCAGTGGCTTCACAATCCGGATTGGCAGCGCTGGGAGGTGGGGACAGGGTGCCAGCATCATGGGCTGAGCAGGCTTCCATGGGGACATGGCAAGCTGACCTGGTACACCCCAGCCCTGGTGCTGGAGCCCAGCCAGACCTTGCAGCCCGCACTGGTACCTTCCACCTGCAGACTGGCCTCCGAGGTGACTGTCCTGGCTGTGAAGCGGATCAGTCCATTGTCCTCAGGGCATACACCACAGAACAGCAGGAAATGCCGGGTCCCTGGGGAGGGAGAGGCTGGCTCAAGGTGACAGCAATGCACACCCATAGTGAGCAGGGGGACAGGGACCCCCCTTTGTCTACACAAACTCCCCTTGCTTGAATTTGTCCTATCCCAGCCCCAAGCCAGGTGTGGAACCACCTGCATCCCCACCTTCTTGCCGTATCTTCACTGTGCTGGAGACCTTGATCTTCTCCCCATCCCGAAACCACTCGCCCTTCACATCCCCATGTGACACCTCGCAGGTGAAGACTGCGTTGTCACCCTCCCGGACCTGGACATCCTGCAGCTCCTGCACAATGTGGACCTGGCGCTCTGCAGGTAATGGACAGGGTGCCAGAGCAGCCAAGGACGAGGGGAGCAGGCAGCGTAGGGTTTGGGGGTGTACACGCTGCTGGGAGCTGGGTGACCGTACCCTGGACATGCAGCGTGGCAGAGGCCTGGCAGTCACCTGCATCGCAGGTGTAGCTGCCAGCGTCGGTCAGCTCGCAGCGGCTCAGCTGCAGGATGCGGCGCCGTCCCGCGGAGTAGATGCGGCAGCTGGGCCCTGGCCGCAGCTCCTGCCCATCCTGCACAGAAGCAAACGGGCAGCACCCCACTGCTTTGGCCCCTCTGCTCTGTCTGCAGCCGTGGCAGGGAGGGCAGCGGCCAGGGGACAAAACAAGGAGGAGGACAGGAGCAGGTGCTGCTGGAGGGGGTTAGGGTGAGCCCTCACCTTGAACCATTTCACTTCTGCATTGGGGCGAGACAGCTCACACTCAAAGCTGGCAACCCCTGTCTCTGGGACACCCAGGTCTCGTGGGACCCTCACCATGGTGACTGGAGGCTCTGAGGAGGCAGGACAGGAAGGCTTGATAGGACAAAGGCATGGACTTGGGACTGCAGGGAAGAGTAGCTGTGGCTGAGGCATTTCAGCATGCAGAGAGAGTGGCACTACCCATGGGCAAGCACTCAATCAGTGGTGTTCCAGCTGGCTCTGGACCCAGACCCTGGCTGGGTGTCCCCAGTGCTCAGCTCACATCTCCTCCCTGAGGACAGGGGGACACTTGCCAGCACTCATCACCCCTGTCCAGGACAGGGGGACACATGTGCCCAGGGTGGCCCAGCTCAGCCTCAGTGTCTCCCGCTACAGAATAGCGGCAGGTCAGACAGCATCAGTTCCACACACCCCCCAGCCTGCCCCAGGGACCGTACCCCGCACACGCAGGCGGGCGCTGCAGCGCAGAGTGTCAGCAGTGAAGGTGATGGTGCCCGAGTCTTCCAGTGCAAGCCTCTCCAGTGTCAGGCTGTGCCCGCAGCCTGTGGCGCTGATCCGGCACGTACTGCTGGGCTTCACCCGGATGCCATCCCGTGTCCAGACCCCCGTCACGCCAGGGTGAGACAGTTCCAGGTGGAAGGTGGCTGTCTCTTTCTCAAAGGTCTCCACATCTGCCAGTGGTGTCCGGATCGACACCTTCCGGGCTGTGAAGGACCCATGTCTGTGAGTAGGTGTCTGCTCCACCGCAGAGCCCCACTCAGTCTGTGCTTGCTGGAGTGATCGTCTAAATCCGGTTGTTTGTGCCAGACTCCCACCCCTGCCCACACGCCCACCTCTCTGAGCACCCCTTCCAGCCAAGTACCAGCTCTGCCCACATGCTCCCGTTGCAGCAGTTGGGTGCCCTCCCTGTCCCCATCCCCAGCCCCATGCCCAGCCTGTACTCACGCTCCACGTGGAGCTTGGCCTGCGTGCGGTCGTGCAGGCTCTCGCAGCGGTAGGTGCCGCGGTCAGCAGGGCCGAGGCAGCGGATGGTGAGGGTGCGCCGGCACCCCGACTCCTGCAGCAGGTACTTGCTGCTCGGCTGAAGGAGGATGCCCTGCTTCAGCCACTGCACCTCGGCAGCCTCGTGGCTCACCTCCACCTCCAGGCACACGTCGCCCTGCTCCTCTGCCACCACATCCTGCAGCTTCTGCACAAACAGCACCTGTGCCTCTGCGTGGCCCGTGTGCTGGGTCAGCAGCCGGCCCCAGGGCTGTGACTCGGGCTGAGCCCCAGCTTTCTCCTTCCCGCTCACCTTGTACACCTAGCCGAGCTGTGCTCACCAGCCCCTCGGCATTGGCTGTCACAGGGCCTGCATCACCTGTCTGGCACTGCCGGATGATGAGGCTGTGGCACAGCCCACTCCTTGTCACCAGCAGACGCTCGCTGGGGACCACGGGCTGGCCATTCAGCTGCCATGTCACAGCCACATCTTCGGGGGATACCAGGCACTTGAAGGTGGCATCCTCCCCCTCCAGCACTGTCAGGCTCTGCAGCTCCATGATGATCTCCACCACCCTGGGGACTACAGCCAGGTTGTCAGAGCACAGCATAAGGGACCCCCTGTCATGTCGCTGAGCATTCCTGCAATCCTGACATCACTGTGCCAGCATCCCCACCACCCCCACGGAACAGGAGTCCCCCAGGTGGTGGGGAAGCCTTGGGCTCACCCTGCACCGTCAGCGTCGCCAGGGTCTGGTCGTCGTTGGACTCGCAGCAGTACTCGCCGGCATCCGCGGGCTCCACGCGGCTCAGCACCAGCGACCGCTCCCGTCCCTCTGCCGTCATCTGCCGCCGGGGGCCGGGCGCCAGCACCCGCCCGTCCTTCCGCCACACCACGTCGCCCCGTGCCTTGCAAAGCTCGCACCACAGCACCACCCGCTCGCCCTGCCGCGCTCGCACGTCCGACAGCCCACGCAGGAACTTCACCCGCAGCTCTGCACGGTCAAACCCGCCCATAGCAGCACCCGCTGCCACTGCAGGGGGACCCCCGGGCGCCCCCACTGCCCCCTGCCCCCACCTCGGACGCTCACGTCGAACTGCATCTGGTCGTGGGGTGAGAGGCAGGTGTAGGTGCCGGCGTCCTCCATGGCCACGTTGTGGATGATGAGGCTGTGCACGCGGCCGTCCCGGCGCCGCTCGCAGCGCTCGCCGGCCACTGCCGCCTGCTGCGGGCCCCGCCAGGTGACATCGCACCGCTCCGTGGAGGTGATGGCGGACAGCACGGCACTGCCGCCCTCCAGCACCAGCAGCTTCTCCTGCTCCTCCCGTTTGTTCACGAACAGCACGGGTGCCTCTGCCGGAGGGGCACTGGGCTCAGATGTGGCCCCGCCAGTGGCACCAGCATGGGATGGAGGTGCCAAGCATCCCGGCGTGAGGCAGGATGACACTGCTCCTGCCCTGGCATGGGCGAGGGACACCTCCAGGCTCACCTTTCACATGTAGAGTGAAATACACCTCATCATCACCGGCGTCGCAGAGGAAGATGCCACTGTCGCCCAGCTCCGCTTGCTTGATGGTGAGGCTGCGCGTGGCACCCTCGCTGCACACCAGCAGCCGCCCACCTGAGCACAGCGTCTGTCCATCCTTCTGCCACTGCACCGCCGCTGTCTCCGGGGACAGCCGAGCCACCAGTGTCACACTGTCCCCCTCCTGCACCTCCAGCGGGCTCTGCGCCTCCTCCTTGTTGACAATGCACACAGGCCGGGCTGAGGGGCGCAGGGGACAAGGCAGGGTTCAGGGATGTTCCCACAGTGTGGGGCAGCGCAGGGACAAGACTGCTTCAAGTGGAGAGGTGATGCCTCTGTGAGTCACCGTGGGGCAGAAGGGCTGTGGGGCTGACTGGGGGTCATGGTGGGACTAGACAGGGGGGAAGGGCAGGCATGCAGGATGGAGAGGCCTGGCAGCTCAGGGTTCACTCAGGGAAGGGACAGCAGCAGAGCCCATCGCTTCCGCATCACTCCCTGTACAGGCAGCACAGCTGCCATGTTGAGACCATTAACTTCACTGTACCCCCCATCCAGAACACCTTGCTGGGCAGCCAGGACACCTGCCTGCAACAGACCCCCTCCCACCCTGCACAGCCCTCCATCTCCCGCTGATAAGGGTCCAGGCTGAGCTCAGCCCTTGGCAGCCGAAGCAGGAGGAGCGGCGCCTGGGAGCCAGCCAAGGCTAAATTTAAACAGCCCCTGGCTGGGGGAGGCAGCAGGGACATGTCTCGCCACGACCCTGACATGTCTCTTTCTAACCAACGGCTCCTGTAGGGTTGGGGACAGGGCTCCCACCCTCCCTGCCATGCTGCCACCCTGGCCTCTGCATCAGCAGGGTCACAGAGGCTTCCCCTCCCCTTGTGTCTGCGGCATGACCCCACTATTCTGGGGGTCCCTGGGTTCTGAGCCAGCTCACCCAACACCTCCACATTTGTCACCATGCGGTCGCTGGCAGCATCACAGACGTAGCACCCCGCATCGCTGGGCTGTGCCCCATTGATGGTGAGCTGTCGCAGCACCCCACGGGCCTCCACCTGCACCCGTTCACCCGGGTGCACCTCCTGGCCATTCCGGAGCCAGCGCACGATGGCGTCGGGCCGAGAGAGCTCACAAGCCAGCACCAGGTCTTCCCCGGCCACCAGGCAGCGATGTACCATGGTGCCCGTGCTGCCCACAATGGTCACCGGTGGCTCTGGGACTGGAGAGATGGGCTGTCACCACAAAAGCAGCCTGTGCTGGGTATCACAATGGCCAGACCCTGGCCAGACTCCTCTGGCTGCAGCTGAGCAGCACTGAGGTTTCCACAGGGCCACCACACAGATGCAGTCCACTCCCCATGTGCCCTCCACCAGCCTCCCTGTGCTCACTGCCACCCGGCCCAGCCTCATACCACCCTGGCAGCAGCCACAGACCCACCTCACTCCTCTCCCCCTGGCCATCCCCGCCAGAACCTCCTGCTCACCTTCTACAGTGATGAAGAAGACGACACTGTCATCACCAGTGTCACAGAGATACTCCCCAGCATCCTTGCCTGTAGCACCCAGGATCACGAGGGATCGGCGCGCCCCGTCCTCCTCCAGCCGCACACGCCCCGTGTCCTGCAGCTTCTCCCCGTCCTTGTACCACTTCACCTCCCCATGGGTGTGTGAGAGATGCACCTCCAGCACCAGGTCCTCCATGGCCTGGCAGCGCCGGTGGGTGGGCAGGACATCCTTCTCCAGGATTCTGACCAGCGGATCTGCAGCACCCAGCACCAACAGAGCTGAGGTCTCTGGGGTTTGTGCACCCAGCACTCCACACCGGGCTCTTCCCTACCCTCATGCTCACCCAACACTTGGATGGTGAAAGTCACTGTGTCATTGGCGGTGTCACAGGTGTATTTCCCAGAGTGCTCAGCTTGGGCAGCGGGGATGAGCAGCCGGCGATGGACACCCTCCTCCTCCAGGACCAGGCCGCCCCCAGCCTCGAGCCTGACACCCTCCTTTGCCCAGCACACGGGTGTATCCGCACGGGACAGCTCACAGCACAGTGTCACCGTCTCCCCCGGGGACACCGTCATGACAGGGACAGGTCTGCAGGGCTGCAGGATCCTCACCGGAGGCTCTGCAGGTGTGGCATATCCGTGATACAAAGCAGCGCAGGGGCTGGCAGCCCTGGGCACTCCTCTGCTGCCAGCCCCGGGTAAGCTCCTGTGCTGGGTGGCCCAGAGGATGGGCATCCACGGGTGGCCAGAACCACATCAGCACTGACCTGACACCTTGACATCGAAGGAGACGGCCTCGTCCTTGGTCTCGCAGATGTACTCGCCTGCATCCTCTGCACTGCTCTTGGGGATGAAGAGACAGCGCCAGGCCCCCTCGACCAGCAGCTGCAGGTTATCAGTCTCGTCCACCTCCAACCCGTCCTTGAACCAGTGCACAGCAGCATCCGGCACGGAGAGCTCGCACCGCAGTTCCACACACCCTGGAGCCTGAACCAGCAGCTCCAGTGAGCGCTGTGGAGGCTGCAGGATCCTCACTGGTGCCTCTGTTGGGGATGTAGAGGAAGATCTGCTCACTCCTCCTGGCTCTGCTGTGTCTTTTTACTGTCACCTGTGTCACTGTCCCCATGGGGCTGTATGGAAGCTACATCCTCTCACCCCAGGACAAAGATATCAGAAGTGCTCAGGGGCAGGGGCAGCAGGCACAGAGATGAAACTGCATGCCCTCCTCCACAATGCTGAGGGCAGGGAGCAGGGCTGGGGACCCCAGAGCACAGAGCCAGGGCCATGCTACCCTTTCCAGAATGTCCCTGCTGTTCCACCAACCTGCCACCAAGATGGAGTAGGAGACAGATGCATCTCTGGCATTGCAGATGAACTCCCCCGTGTCTTGCATCTGGGCACAGGGCAGCACCAGCCGGCACTGCAGCCCCTCCTGCTCCAGCACCAGGGTCTTGCCCACCTCCACTTCTTCACCGTCCTTGTACCAGCGCACCGGGGACACTGGGCGGGACAGCTGGCACCACAGCTCCACGCGCTGCCCCACCACGTAGGAGTGAGAGGCCTCCTTGTTGGAACTGACAATCCTCACTGGCACCTCTGCTGGGGACATGGCAGGCTCAGGTGTGGTGCTGGGTGAGTCCCACGTGAGGACAGGAATCCCTGGGGCAGCTCACTGCTCCCAGTCACCCTGCAGCTGGCAGCATCGTCCCCGGCATGGCACGTGTAGCCCCCTGGGTCAGACAGTGCAGCTGCAGCAATGTGCAGCCCCTGTGAGCATCCCTCTGAGCAGATGGCCAGGACCTGCATTGGGACCACAGCTCCCTGTCCTTCAGCCAGGGGACAGGGGCATCTGCAGGGGACACCTGGTGCTCCAACACTAAAGGCAGCCCTGCTAGCACCTCCCAGAGCTGCTCGCCTCCAGCACTGGGGTGAGGCAGACCTTCAGGGCAGACCTTGGTCCTTCACACCTGGTGCTCCAACACTAAAGGCAGCCCTGCTAGCACCTCCCAGAGCTGCTTGCCCCCAGCGCTGGGATGAGGCAGACCTTCAGGGCTGAGAGGACCAAGACCTTGTGTCACTTGGCCTCCCATCCTACCTGCCCTGCTGGCAGTGGCCATGGATCTCCCAGCCCTGCAGTGCTGGTAGCTGCAAGCTGAGGGAACAGCAGGGCTGGGGTGTGAGATGGCATCACCCAGAGGCAGGCAGCTGGTTGTGCTCTGGAGTGTAGGGGGGCAGTGTGATACAGAGCTCTGTATGCTCCTGCCCACATCCCCTTCCAGCCCAGGGGCATGGGCAAAGAACTGCTCTCAAGGAGGTGAGAGGCAGCTGAGGTGCTGAAGCCACAGCGAGCAAGGAGCTGGGGCAGAGGGAGAAGGGCGAGAGGGATGTAGGTGTCTGTTGTACCCACCTGCCACAGTGATGGTGTAGAAGACAGAGTCCCCACCGGCATCGCAGACGAATTCCCCTGTGTCCTGTGGCTGGGCACAGGGCAGCACCAGCTGGCACTGCAGGCCCTCCTGCTCCAGCACCAGGCTCTCACCTGCCTCCACCTCCTCTCCATCCTTGTACCAGCGCACTGGGGCTGCAGGGCGGGACAGCTGGCACCACAGCTCCACACGCTGTCCGGCCACGTATGTGTGGGAGGCCCCCTCGTTGGAGCTGACAATCCTCACTGGCTCCTCTGTGACAGAGAGACATGGGGCTCAGCCAGGACATAAAGACCAGAGCCAGTGATGGTGGCCATCACAGCCCTGTGTGGAGTGATGGCTTCGCCACTTGTTGGCTTTAAGGCTGGAAGGCACCACATCATCCACATTCTACATAGCAGAAGCTTCTGGACCATCGTGCCTGGGTCTCCCTCTTCTCCTCACACATTGTAACCAGGAGGAGCACCAGGCTTTGAACTGGCTGTAAATTGCTGCCATGCCCTTGCTCCCTTGGTACCTGCCCTGCTTTGCCCTATGGTGGAGCTGAAGGTTGTGGAGGGAGGATGCATTTAGACAAGCCCCAGCACTGATAACCACTGTCTGGTGCCAGCACCAGCCCCTGCAGCTGCTCTTCCAGGGAGTGCCCTTCCCTCTGCCTATCTCCCCATTTCAGAGGCCACCTAGTGCCAGCCAGCACTTCTGTCATGGCTCAGCCTTGGCATTTGCAGAGTCCCCACCAGCATCGCAGACGAATTCCCCTGTGTCCTGTGGCTGGGCGCAGGGCAGCACCAGCTTGCACCGTGGCCCCTCCTGCTCCAGCACCAGGCTCTCACCTGCCTCCACCTCCTCTCCATCCTTGTACCAGCGCACTGGGGCTGCAGGGCGGGACAGCTGGCACCACAGCTCCACACGCTGTCCGGCCACGTACGCGTGTGGGGCTTCCTCGTTGGAACTGACAATCCTCACCGGCGCCTCTGCCAGGGATAATGTGGGCCTCAGCATGACTGGCTGTAGCCTTCAGCCACATGATGGGGGCAAGAAGCAGGGCAGGAGCACTGTCAGGAGGAAGGGGCCAGGCTCCCACACAGTCCCCAGCTCACCGGTCACGGTCACCACAAAGCTGACGGCATCATCCCCAGCGTCACAGGTGTACACACCAGTGTCTGAGGGACACGCTGAGCGGAGCAGCAGCCGCCGCACGCAGCCTTCTGCCTGCACTGCGATAACGTCATCCAGGGGCACTGCCCTGCCATCCTTCAGCCAGCACACAGGAGCATCCGGGGTGGACACCTGGCATTCTAGCAGCACAGGCATGCCTGCTGGCACTTTTTGGAGCCGTTCAGCCTCAGACACCGGGGCAATGTGGACCTGTGGGGCTGAGAGACATTGAGGAGCAGTGAGAAGCATCTTCCAGCATGACAGCCCCAGCTGCTGGGGTCCTGGTAGGACTCCAGGGTGAGTGCCCTGATCACCTTGCACATGCAGGATAGCTGAGTCCCGCACACCACCGGACACAAAGGTGACCTGGGCCCCACTGTCAACCAGCCGTGCTCCTCGGATCAGCAGCGAGTGCTCCATCCCACGGCGCTGTACGCTGCACCGGCCGCCTGCGTCCTCCTCCTCACCCAGCCTGGCACCGTTGAGGAACCAGGATCCATGCACCGCAGCTGACAGCTCCAGGGAGAACTGTGCATCCTCACCATCCCTCACCCACGCGTCCTGCAGACCCCTCTCCAGACGAGCTGCTGGGGCTGGAGCACAGATGGACTGAGCCCCAGCGGCGCTGACTACCAGCACACTGTGGCACGACATCCCAGCTTTTGCCTGTCTCCTCACCAAGATGCACAGATCCCGGGAACTCCACGGGGCTGCTCCTGCCGTGCTTGTTGGCGGCAGAGATGCGGAAGCAGTAGTCGGCCTCGCGGGGCACGCTGTCGCCCAGCACCCGCACGCAGCTGGGCAGGTCGGTGGCAAGGCACTGCACCCACTCCCCTCCCGCTGCCTCCCGACGCTCCAGCAGGTAGTGGCTGGCGGGGCGGAGGTGGGAGTCGGGCGCGGGACACCAAGTCAGCAGAGCCGTGTTAGTCTCCACCACGCTCATCTCAGCTGCCACCGGTGCACTGGGAGGGTCGTGCTTCACACCTGCAAGGCACAGCCCAGGTTGTCTGCTTGGGGATGGCAGCGAAGCTTTAGGTGGTGTGGCAGAAGTGCCAAGTGGGGATACACAGCCTGTTTCTTTGGGGATTCTCTCTCTGATGGAGAGGATGGTCTTGCTCCCATGTAGCGTGCTGCTGGCTACAGCATGTCTCACTTTGTGAGTGCCTGTGAGGCTGGGATCGTGGTGCCCTGCTCAAAGCCCCCTTCCCAGAAAACACATTGCAGCATCACACCCCCAGCATATTGGGTGCCTATTCCATCCCCCCTTCTGTATCACCCCCCATGAACAAGCAGCAGAGAGGACACAGGACCCCTTCAAGCCTGGAGCTTACACTTGACTCGGAGCTGGGAGGATGTCTGCGACTCCCCGACCGTGAAGGAGATGATGCCTGCGTCCTGGCGGGTGACATGCACCAGCACCAGGAGGTGTGTCCTGCTGAAGCTCTTGAGCACGGTGCGGGGTGACTCCCGCAGCTGCAGCCCGTCCCGGCTCCAGCAGCTGCCCTCTACCACGTCCCGTGTCTCCACACAGAAAACTGCATTCTCCCCCTCCATCACATCCAGCTTCCGTGGCAGCCGCTTCACAATCACCCCTATGGGAAGAGATATGTGAGGGACAGGGAGGGATTCTGGGGACCAGGATGGGCTCTTTGAGGTGGGAGAGGAGAAGGAGGAGGTTGAGGAGGGGCAGAAGCAGGCACCAGCCAAATGGAGGGAAGGCAAATGCAGGGGCAGTGGTGACCCTGGCAAGGAAGGGAATAGGAAGGCAAAGCTGTGCTACCAGAGACCTGACCCCACCTCGGACAGAGACCTCGGCGATGCTGCGTCCTTTGTCCTTCATCTGGCAGAGGTAGATGCCATCGTCATCGATGCGGGCGTCGCGGATGGTCAGGCGCCGCACCAGCCCTTGCTCCTCCATCACATACTTGTGGCTGGGCTGCAGCTCCCTGTCCTCCAGGTACCAGGAGGTGGGGATGGTCTCCAGTGGCACCTGGCACTCCAACACTGCATCCTCCCGCTCCGCTACCTCCACGTCTGCCAGCTGCACCTGGAACCGCAGCCGGTGCTCTGCCAGAGGAAGAGACGGGAGCTTGGGGCATGTGGGGTACAGCATCCACTGTCAGCCCTCTGCCCAAGGTGCTCCCAGCTCACAAAGAGCAGCAAGCCCTTGTCTCTCCTTTGCCCTCTCCTTTGGCTTGCATGAGACAGACACTGCCTTGACAAGCACATCCCCCAGAGCAGGGAGGACAAGGGCACAGCCTGGTGAGACACGGGATGCCTCCAGTATCTCAGCAGGGAGTTCTGGGGGATGCAGGAGCATGGAAGCCAGCATGCTGCAGAGGGATCTCAGTGGAGGGGAGCAGTGGGGTGTAGGCAGGGGCTGCACCAGTTCCTGGGTAACCCCAGCCACGGGCTGTCCCCAGCTGGCTGGATGGCTTGGGGGGGAATTGGGCAGCTGCCAGTGCAGACTGTTGGAGCCGTGCCCTGCAGGGCTGGCTGCCAAAACCACTCAGCACTTCCAGGGGAATTTGTCACCAAGGCACTGACCCTCTTCCCTGTTTGTGGCCGGACACCTGCAGTGATCCCAAGAAGCCACACCTCTGTTTGCAAGGAGAGAGACACGGAGCAGGACACAGCTCCTGGAGAAGCCCAGCATCCCCTGCTTCCAGCCCACAGCTCTGTCCTGACGAGCCTGGGGTGACCCTGGATGCACAGGGCAGGAAGGAGCCCAGAGATGCTGGGCTCCCACACAGACACGCCCCTGCCAGACAAACTTCCCTGAGCCCCCCAGGGCCCGGCCACTTCTGACACTCCTTGGACGTGTTCCTACCTTTCACCTGGAGCTGCACTGCGCTGAGGGTCTGGCCAGCAGTGTTGGAAGCGGTGCACATGTACAGCCCCTGGTCCTGAGGTTTGCAGTACAGCACCTTGAGGATGAAGTAGCCCTCCCGGTCCTCGTAGATGAGATGTCTGCGGCCAGGGGCGAGGGGCTCACCATCTTTCTGCCAGATAATCTCTGGCTTGGGCTTGCCAGTAACGTAGCAGCGAAACTTGGCGTGCTTCCCTGCGCTCACGGCAAATGCCTTGGCCCCTGGCACCCTGGCTGGCACCACGCCATTGGGCACCCAGGTCTCTGGTCCCACATGCCGTACCGCCGTGTGCCGCTGCCACCGCTGCCGCTCCGCCAGAGCCTCGGGACCAGCGGCAGGGGAGCCATTGGGGAGCCCGTCCAGCACTGCCTGGGCTTCCACCAGGAGCACGGCAGCAGCCAGGGCCTCCTGGGAGCCACTGCGTGCCCGGCAGACATACACTCCCCCGTCCTGGGGCCGGGCACTGAACAGCTTCAGGAAGTGCCAGTCCTCTGATTTCTGCCCCACTGCGAAGTGGCTGCTCTCAAAGAGTTCGGAGAGCTTGTGCCCGTCCTTCTCCCACTCCAGGACAGGGCAGGGCTGCCCAGACACCCTGCAGGTGAACATCACGTCGTCCCCCCGGCACACCCGCATGGACGAGGGGGCAATGAGGAAGGCTGGTGCGACACTGCCTGAGCATCCCTCCTCCTCTCGCGGCTCCGCCACTGGCTCTACCTTGAGCATGGTGGCAGCATAGGTCTCACCAACGCTATTCTTGGCCCTGCAGACGTAGAGTCCACTGTCCTTGGGGGTGGTACAGGACACCAGCAGGCTGTACATGTCCCCTTTGGACTCCATATGGAAACGGCTGGAGGGCTCGATGGTGTTCTTGTCCTTTTCCCAGAGGATGCTTGGCTGGGGATCACCCATGATCTGGCAGCTCAGGACCGCATTGGTGCCACTTTGGACTGTGAAGGCACGTGGGTAGGCCAGGAACCTGGGGGCTCCCCCGAACCCCTCCATCACCAGCTCCCCAGAGTCACAGCAGGCAGCTGGCTGCAGCAGCAGCAGGGACCATCAGCCTGGGGAGATGTACAGACAGACTAGAGTGGGGGCTTCATCAAAGAGATGGAGCCCCCAACCAGGAGGGACCCACACCTGGGGCAAAATCCCCAGCATGGACCCCCTGCTCCAGGAGCATCACCCTCATTCGGAGCAGCACAGCCCCACTGGATTTGCCCCGAGTGACCCAAATCATCCATTTCCCAGCCCAAGGCAATAGGACACGTGACAAAAAGTGGCTCTTTGCACCCCGGGGGACTGAGACACTTGGAGCTTATCCCCCAGGAGCAGAGGGGACTCCAGTGCCAGAGGTGGGAGACCCCTGCTAGACAGCATGGGCAGCTGCTTGCTGGCTGCTGGGGCTGGGGGACAGCGGAGGCAAAAGGGCCCCCGCCCGCCCCTTCCCCACCCGCCGGGCATTCACATTCCTGCAGTATCGGGTGGTGGCAGAGCCGCATTCCTGCAGCATCTGGGCCGGCTCAGCGGGCAGGTGCTGACACGGGGCTGTCACGGGCGCGAGGCCCCGGCTGGACTCGGGCTGGGACTTCCTCCCGGACCTGGGTGGGCAGGGGACCCCCTGTGCCGGGCGGCCACCCCACAGAGCCGGGCCCTGGGACAAAATGGGGCTCTGGGGAAGGGGTCCCCCTCCCAGAGAGTAGTCCCACAGGCAGGATCCAGCCCTTGTGCACTCAAAACTACAGCTGGAAATCATCAGTCCCAGGGGGAAAAATGAAAGCCGGGGAGGTGGGTCCTGCTTTTGCAGGGCACTGCCTCCATCCCCAGCTTTGCGGGTATCCGTGCCCACCATCAGGGGCAGGAGCGGGTCAGGGTGCCTCCCCCCGGGAGTGCAGCCCACCCTCTGCCCACACCATGGCTGGGACTGGGGCAGGGTCGTCTCTGACTTGCTCGGGCAGGGGGAGGGGAAACAAAAATACTTCTTGAATGAGCCAGAGGGTAGGAGAGGGCTGGTCCCCAAGGAGGGACAGGGACTGCGGCCAGCTTCTCCTCCCTGAGCCCTACCCCCGGGACAGCGCACCCATTCACAGCCATCTCTCCATCCACACGGCCCTGACCCGTGTGCCACCCCACAGCGGCTCCTTTGGACACAAGCAGGTGGCTCTGATGGCTCGGCCGCACCATTGCACCCTTCCACCCCTCCCTTCCCAACCACCCTGCCCCAGGCAGCCCCCAGCCCCGTCCCTGCCCCACTCGTGTACCTCGCTCTGCCACCTCTCCCCTGTGTCTCTCAGCGCCGGCACCCCGCTCCTGCTGCTTCCCCCAGCTCCCCTCCTGGGTGTCACTGCGCAGGGACCAAATGTTACAAATGCCTGCAGCTGCTGTCCCCAAAAATACCCTCTGATGACACGCGGGGTTGATAAGAGTGAGCCTGCTCCGTCCAGCGCCTCGCCGAGGCTGGGCTGGCCTACCTATGTATAGCAGCCCAGCAGGAGCCACCCCAGAGAGCTGCAGGGGTGCTGCAGGCCTGGCTGGGCCTCGCTGTGCCAGCAGCGAGGGACAACGTGCCCTGTGGAGAGCATGGCACGGGCTGCAGGGTGTGCTGTACACTGAGCTGGACACCAGACTGCAGTGAGGCAGGACGTGTCACACGGGACACGCTGCATGGGACAGGATGCGTCACACGGGACATGCTGCATGGGGGGGATGTGCTGCACTGGATGCTGCATGAGATGCCAGGCTGTATTGGATGGGATGTGCAGGACACTGAGCTGCCAGAGGCACAGAGGGGATGCACAGGCTGCCCACATGCAGAGTGCAGGCAGGGTTAGTGGATAGGGAGCACAGGGCACTGTCCACTCAGGCAGTGGTGAGAGCAAGGGCACTGGGTCTCCTTACAGCCCATGCCTCTCCTGCAACTCCCACCCTGTGAGCCAGCCCGTGGCTAGACAGCCCAAACAGCACCCTAGGATCCTTCTCCTGTACCTGCTGTGGGGTCTCAGCTGGCCTGCCTCTGTCTCATCTGTTCTTCCCCCCCTGAAGCTGGGCCAGCCTTCCACAGCCCCAGAAAGAGCAGGGACCTTTTGCCATCCCTCCTGCTTCATGTCCCCAGGACCCTGCCAATCACCAGACTGTCATGGAGATGCCACAACCACCCTGCCCCTCAGCTTGCCCTTTCCAAGGCCCCATCCTCACATTTTGGCTGCCCTGGGGACTGCCACCTGCAAAGTGCCTCCCCCATGCGAGAGCCTCCCAGGCCTCTGCTCCCCACCAGGTCCTTGCCCAGATTTCCCTGCTGTGCACAACTGCTGTCACTTCCCACCAGCTCCCCAGAAGCCCTAGACCTCCAACTCCTCCGCCATAGGGGGCACCCAGCATCAGCAGCTGCAAAGCTCACCCAAGGTACCCCCTCCATCCCTGCCAGCTTAGGTTCCTGGCACCACCGTGCCCCCAGCCCGGCCTGCCCAGCCCCACACACCCACTGCTCCCGGCAGCATCCCCCACACACACCCCCTTGCCCGGGCGCCGGCCCCCCCAGACCACGCTGTCCTTGCAGTCCTCGCATTCCAGACGTCTCAGCGCTTTCACAGCTCAGAGATAATATTCACGGGGAGCAGACGTTTGCGTCAGTGTCAGATAGATCTCAATGCCACCCTGCCCCGGGGGGAGCGCAGCGGGCAGACGGGCTGGGCAGGCAGGCAGGAGCCCGCGGCAGAGCCCCCCGAGCCACCAGGCCGCTGTGTGCCCCACGGCCATGCTGCTGCTCCTGCACCTGCTGCCTGCCATGCTGCCCTCCGCCGCCCTGGCCAGCTGCACCGCGCCGGGGCCCGACCGGCAGCTCGTCCTGGCCAAGGTGCGGGCTCGGCTGCTGGAACACCTGAGTCCCCCCCTTCTCCAGGAGGAGCCACAGGTGGAAGCAAGGAGGCTACACCGGAGAGACGTCCTTGAAAACACCGAAGTGGAGCCAGAGGAGCTGGAGGACACCTCCCAGGTGATCTTATTCCCTGCCACAGGTGAGAACATCCTGATGAAAGGGTGAAGCAAGGTGGGGGGTTGGAGCAATGCAGATGCTGAAGGATGGAGAGGCTGATGTGGTGGTCTGTGGGAGAAGGGGAAGAAGGTATGCCAGGCTGGGACATGGGTGTGAGTGAGATTTGGTGGAGAGCCTGGAGATGGAAAGGTATGGCAGGCAGGGACAGGCAGAACAGTTCAGGACAGACAGCAGAGGGACAGGCAGCACAAGAGGGTGCTGAGAGGCTGGGAAACAGCTGGCTGGGGAGGATGCAGAGACATGGGAAGGGCTGAGGAGCAGGGTGGAATAGGGTGGGATGCTAGGGAATGGGGCAGTATACTGTAAGGGAGGTTGGAATATGAAGGAGCAGGGCAGGGTGCTGAAGCACGGGGCAGGATGACCAGCTATAACAGGAGATGGGGCAGAATGCTGAGGGATGGGATAAGATGTACGTGCCAGGGGAAAGAGGGCAGGATGGCCAACTATGGAACAGGACTGGGAGATGGGCCAGGAAGCTGGGGAGATGGTCAGGATGCAGAGGATGGGAGAAGGGGACAGGTGACCAGCTATGGGGCTGAATGGGGCTGAATGCTATGGGGGCTGAATGCTGGGGCACAGGGCATGATATGGACTCTTGGGGAAAGGGGCAAGATAACCAGCTGTGGGGCAGGATACTCGGGGACACGGGTGACAGTAATGGACCAGCCTAGGGCATAGCAGGGATCAGCTGTGGGGCATAGCACAGAAGCTGCTGCACAGCACATCAGCTCCCCTGCACCCTGCCACAGCCTATGCCAGCAGCCAGGTGCCCTGCAGCACTCCAGGGACCTCTGCAACACCCCACTTGCCATCTGGCATTGGGGATTCTCCCCAGTTTTGGGTGCACACCCTGATCATCTTTTCCCCCCCACAGATGTTCCCTGTGAGCCCACACAGCCAGACAAGCTGCTGGAAGAAGAAGGGATTTTCACCTACCTCTTCCAGCCCTCGGCACACACCTTGAGCCGTGTGGTGACTTCTGCCCAGCTCTGGTTTTACACGGGCCCCTCGGCTGCCCCCAACCACTCCACCCTTGACGTGCTGACCCTGTCACCTCAGGGCCGGGTGCCGGTGACGGCCATGGCGGAGCGGACACCCGAGCACTGGACAGTGTTTCACTTGGCCCCGGTGCTGCTGCCCCAGCTCTGGCAGCCGCTCTTTGTGCTCCTGGTGCGCTGCCCTGGCTGCCCCTGCCTGGCCGAGGGGGACAAGGTGCCCTTCCTGGTGGCCACCACCCGGGCCAAGGGCAGTGAGAGGGCCCGTCGCTCTGCCATGCCCTGGTCCCCAGCTGCCCTGAGCCTGCTGCAGCGTCCATCCGAGGAGCTGGCTGCCCACACCAACTGTCGCCGGGCTTCCCTCAACATCTCCTTCGAGGAGCTGGGCTGGGACAAGTGGATCGTGCACCCCAGCAGCTTTGTTTTCCACTACTGCCACGGGAGCTGCGCTGCAGGCCACGGGCTGAGCCACCGGCTGGGTGTGCAGCTGTGCTGCGCCGCCCTGCCCGGCACCATGCGCTCCCTGCGCGTCCGCACCACCTCCGACGGCGGGTACTCCTTCAAGTACGAGACGGTGCCCAACATCCTGGCCCAGGACTGCACCTGTGTCTAGGGCACCCGGCAGCCCGGCCCCGGAGCGTGATCCCACCCAGGAGGAGTTGCTTTCCCAGCGGAACCCTGGCCACTGGGATGGGGCAGTTTGGCTTACCGCCCTCCCCTGCACAAGCCAGATTTTTGGGCTGGCCCAGGTACCATCACACTGCCAGACTTGCCCTAGGGCCGGTCCCAGCTCAGAGCAAATCAGGGCGTGGTGGGGCATGGATAGGCACAGCCTATGGCAAAGGCATCACTGCCCTGCCAAAGCCAGCCTGCTGTCTGCAACCGGATTAGCCCTCATCTCTCCCCACCTGCTTTTCTCCTACCATTCTGCACCCCCACAAAAATTGGTGTCTTCCTCCTGCTGCAGAGTTCAACAGCTTCCCCTGTGCTCCAGGCAGGGCCAGGCTGCTGCAGCAGCATCAGGATGTGCCTGGGTGAGCCCATGAACCTCACACTGGTGGCAGGGCTGGTAGCACACATGGCTCCACAACTGAGCCCTCTCACAGCAGCACAGCTTGTTGGAAAGCTTAATGGGATGAGGGAAATAAACCTGTTCCCTTTACTAAAGCAGCCTGGAAACGCCAGTTTCTGTCTAGATGGAGAAATGAGGGGATGGGCAAATACTGTTAGAGACATCCAGCTCTGATTTGGGGTACCAGAGAGGGGACTGGAGTATGCTGGCCAAAATGGGCATGGTGTGGCTGGGTTTGATCCTGCCCCAGCAGGGGTGTGCAGAGCAGAGCAACATCCCTTCTGCTCTGGGCAACAGCTTGTGCAGGAACAGTGGAAGCGGATGGCTGGGGAGACGTGGGGATGGTGGGAGGATGGGGAGGCAGAGGAAAGCCCCTGACCTGGCCCCTTGGCAATGATAGAGCCAAAGAGGAACGTGGCCAGTGCAATCCCTCTCCAGCAGGATGATGACGGCTGCCCTGGCCGCAGCCGCCTCCTCACGGCAGGAACAACTGAGTCACCCTGGGCAGCAGGGAGGTCCCAAGGCACGCACAGCAGCGCCAGCCCAGACGTACAGGATTCCCTTCCCACCCCTTCCTCCCAAATGAGGGGATGCAGCAGTTCAGTACAAAACGTCTTCAGCCTTTACTAATATAGATATTAAAAAAAAAAAAAAAGAAAAACAGAGTGACAATCATTTCCGAGTAAAAAACAACGCTACAAAAGTCCCCATGTGACCCAGGCTGAGATGATGAGGAATGCTCCACTGGCTCCCGGCCGAGCCCAGCTCGGGGCACCACGTCCCCACACTGTGAGGCCAGAGTCTGGCTCCGTGCAGGGGGTCCCAGCCCTGCAGCCAGAGTGGGAGGAGACAAGTTTTGGTCCAAGGGCGGCCTGCCAGGACAGGGCGGAGGCAGTGGGAACGACAGCCCCTGACCTCTGCACAGACATTTCCAAGCAGGCCAGCCCCGCAACTCACGGCCCCATGCCAGGATGCTACGCAGCACGGCCTCCCAGGCTACAAAGTCACTTTCTGGAAGTGCAGTGCCACCAGGACCCCTCCCACCCCCTCCAAGAGTAACGCCAGCCCAGCACTTGACCCACAGCTTGGCCCAGCCAGCCAGACCCCCAGCCTGCTCCCCTAAGTCCCCCACAACTTGGGGGGCAGTACCAAAATCAACAGCACGTGCATCAGCCAGTGCTGCTGCGGGTGGCAGAGGGCATGGGGGGCACAGGGAGGTGCGAGGACAACATGCTGGGGAAAATGGGTGTGGGAGGAGGAAAAGTGGGTGAAACAGGAGATGGGGGGGCACGGCCCAGAGTGGAGATTGGGATGGAGTATAAAAATGCCAGGGTGCACATGTTGATGAGTTTATAAAAACGTACAAAAATAAGATATTCCCTTTTTGAAAATTAAGTAGGAATGAACCCCATGGCCCCTGACCCCTCTGCTGCCCACTGGGCAGGGCTGCCCAGACTGCCCCGCTGGGCAGGCGTGTGGCATCCTTGGCCCTGTGCTCCTGGCAGGACGCCTGTCCCACGGTGGCGGTGGCAGCCACTCCGGCAGACACGCTGTCGTCCCTGGCGACACTCACAGCCCTGTGGGGAGCAAAAAGCAGGTTAGCACCCACCCCAGCGGGAATGGCATCCTCTCTGCAGGGGAGCCTCGGGGCAGCCCCCCATGCCTCCAGCCCAGTGGGCGGGATCCACCCCTCTTTCCAGCTCACCCGTGCTCCTGTCGCAGGCGGCGGTCCCCTTCTCGTGGGCGAGGTTGAGGCGGTTCTGCTCGGCGGCGATGCCGTTGGCCTCGGGACTGCTGCTGCGGGCAGGGCTGGGGGGCCGTGGCGGGGGCTGCAGGTGGAAGGCCACCTCCAGGTGCTCCTGGGCCAGCCGCAGGTGCTCACGCAGCCGGTCCAGCTCGTGCACCGGGGGAGCTCCGGCCAGGGCGAAGCGCCCCTGGGCCAGGCTCTCCCGGTAGTCCAGCTTGCTGTTGGTCAGTGGGGCTTGTGGCATCTCCTTCTTCAGTGAGTGGTAGGTGGGGGGGGCGCTGGGGGCCTTTTTGGGGTACTGTGGTGCAGGACTGCCGCCAGTTGGGAGTGGGGGCCCATCAGCTTGGCTCAGGGCATCACGGATACGCCCCACACCAAGATGCAAGAGCTCGCAGAGGTTGAGGAAGAGGCAGAGCCCGCTGACGGCGTACATGATGAGGAGGAAGATGGTCTTCTCTGTGGGGCGGGAGACAAAGCAGTCGACAGTGTGCGGGCAGGGGCTGCGGCTGCACACGTAGGAGGGGCTCACCTCAAAGCGGTACAGCAGGTACTGCCCGAAGAGGAAAACCATCTCCAGCACGGAGCGGCACAGCAAGTGTAGGACATAGGCACGCATCAGCCCGTCCTGCTTGATACGGCGCCGGCCATCATGCTTCTCTCCGCCCTCTGGGCTCTTCTCCTTCTCCACCTCGATCTCCTCGAAGATCATGGGGTCTTCCTCATTGTCATCCTCTGCCTCCTCGTAGTCTCGCCCGGCTCCCCGGCGCACCACCGGCATGCGCGCCCGCCGGGCTGACGGCGGCCGGCGCCGCGAGGCCTCGGGCATGCGAGCGATGCGGTGCATGGCAAAGCCCAGGTAGAGCACCGACGGCGTCGCCACCATGATGATCTGGAAGATCCAGAAGCGGACGTGGGACAGGGGCGCGAAGGCGTCGTAGCAGACGTTCTCACAGCCCGGCTGCTGCGTGTTGCAGACAAACTTGCTCTGCTCGTCGTAGTAGATGGACTCTCCCCCCACGGCCGTCAGCACGATGCGGAAGACAATGAGGACGGTCAGCCAGATCTTGCCCACGAAGGTCGAGTGGTTGTTGATCTCCTCCAGGAGCCGCGTCAGGAAACTCCAGCTCATCCTGACCAGGCAGTTGACTCAAATCCTGCAAGGAAGGGGCAGGCAAAGAGGCACTGAGTAATTCTGCAGGCATCTCAACGGGACCCTGAAGTCTGCCAGCTGCTAACCGAGCTCTGTGCCGCTCCCTCTTCCAGCACCAGCGTCCCTTCCCTTACTCACAGATCCATGAACACAGCCCTGCTCAGGAAGCTGCCTCCCCATAACTTTATTCCCTGCTCAGCACCGCCTCCCTGTGCTCCTGTCTGCATCCTGCTCCCACCCTGTTGCCAGCCAGGTGGGTGGAGGCCATGGGGAAAGGCTGGGACATCCTGGTTGCCTGCGGGGACACATCTAGGGGAAGAGTGAGCACAGTCACAACCAGAGCAAACATGCCAGCGTAGGGCAGCACCAGCTGGGGACTGTGAGGGGACAAGCAGGAGCAGAAACACTTCCTTCTCCTTTAGTGACACAGCACCCATTTATCACCTGGCACTGAACAGGTCCCTAACCAGCACTCACACCCTCCCACGGGGGTCCACAGGCCATGAGGAAGGCAACACATGGCAGCTCCACTGGCACACTGCAGCTGCCCCCAGAGCAACATCCCCTCCCCACGTGCTAATCAGCCAGGTCCTCTTCACTCCAGAGCTCTCCTCCGAGGGTCATTAGAGGTGCAGCATCACTCTCCAAACAAACCTCAATGCTGTGCCCTCTCTCCTACAGGATCCCAGACCCCAAAGCCTGCAGTGGCCAGTGCTCACAGCACCCTGCAGCTCCACAGCAAGGGCTGGTGGGGGGATGGAACAGGGGGCAGGACAGTGATAGCAAGGGGCAGTGTGGGGTAGCCAAGGAATTGCACAAAACCCTGGCAAAACAGCTGACACTAGAGACTGGGGAGGAAATTATAAGGACCGTGTCACATCTCCTGGCCAAAGAAGACGCAAGACACCCACACCACCCACTGCCACCCCTGGTTTCAGCAGCTCGTGCATGAGATGATGCAAGCCAGGGCAGCAGGTGGCAGGGATGGCTCACAGTGAAGAGAGGGTATGTGTCTGCCCAGAGCCCCCAGCAGCCCCTGCCAGCCCCATCCCATCACCTCTGGCCAGGGCATGTCCCTGCAGATGACGACTGATGCTGCACTGATTCCATTATTGTCCAGAACAAGAGGATCTTTTACACTAAGCTCAGCCAGCCTCCCGACCAACCTCACCTAAGCAGAATAGTCCCTCCAGCACAATGCTGGGGACATGCTCTTGCTGCAGGAAGTGGCACAGGCTGGCAGCACCAGGGACCCAAATTCAGCCCATCAGGGCCACCATCCTTCTGTGGTCACACACCCTGTCTCTCAGGTGTGAGCCCCTCTCCCCCACCACCTCCCTGCAAGGTGGGTGCTTTGTGTCTGCCTTTACCCTAGCCTAGCAGCACACCACCCTGGCACCCACCAGGGTGAAGAACAAGGTGAGAGGATGAGGTAGGAGGACAACAAGGTGAGAGGACGAGGCAGGAGGACAGTTCCAGGAACTAAAACCCAAGCTATGTCAAACCACGACAGGTACCAAGCCCAAGGAAAGCAAAGCCATAGGGTGCCACTGCTGTGGTGGCTATGGAAGTGTGGCATGGGAAGGGCTGGCAACGTGGGATGGCAGCAGCAGTGGGCAGAGCCAGGGCAGAGCTACCTGCAGCCTGTCCGCTACCCGGGGCAGGTGTCCAGAGGCCAGTTTTCAAAGCAGCACAGCCATCCAGGGCCTCCCGGCCACGCTGGGAGTCAGCACTAGCACCATACCTTGGCTGGGCCCTACACCTACCCCTCAGTCCTACCGACCCCAGTCCCGCCTCGTGGGGCTCCCAGCCCTGTCTGAGACCCCCAGTTTCCCCTGCCCAGGGGCACAGCAGCAGGCATCCCACCCTGGGGCTCACGGGCCCCTGCCCATCCGGGGACGCTGTCCCACCCGACCCCTGCCACCCTGGGGACCCAGCCCTCAACCCCAGCCTTTTCAGGGTCCCCGGTCCCACCGACTCCGGCGCCCCGAGGGCCTCCAGCCCAGCTGCCCCCGCCTGTCTGAGACCCCCAGCCCCCCCCCCCCCCCCTCCCCGCCCCCCCGCCGCCCCCCGCCTGTCTGACACCCCCAGCCCCCGACCCCGCCTGTCCCAGACCCCCAGCCCCCGACCCCGCCCGCCCGCGGCCCCAGCGCACTCCTGGGGCTCCCGCCGCCCGGGGCACGGTCCCCGGTCACCCGCCTCGCCGTGCCCCAGGGCCCCGCTTCCCCGCGCAGCACCCGGCCCCACTCACGGCACACGGGGACGAGCGGCTCCCGCCGGCAGGCGGACAAAGCGGTGGGGCGGCGCGCCGCCGCCTCCCGCCGAACAAAGGGGCCCGGGGCCGCCCCGCCCCGCTCCCGCCCGCCGGTGCGTACCGACCGCCCCGCTCGCATCTCCGCCCCGCGTGTCCCGCTCCGCCGCGGGCACCACCGGCCCGGCCCGGCCCGGTGCCGCCCTGGTCCTCCCCGCCCGCGGCTTGGGAGGCCGCGCGGGGCTGCGGGCAGGGACCGGCCCCGGCCGAAACTCTCCCAGAGGCGACTCCCGCCCCAGCAGCTCCGCCCGGCCGCGCTGCCCGGCTCTGTCTCTCCGCTCCCGGGGCCGCTCCTCCCGCGCAGCGCGGCGGAGGCGCCCTGCCCGCTCCCGGGGGACGCTCCGGGCCGCGGGTGCGGCTCGGCCCGCGGGCTTCCCAGGGGTGAGTCCGCCCCAGGTTAGAGGAGGGAGCCCCCGCTCCGGCCTGAGAGTCTGCTGCACAATAACCTCCTGTTCTTACAGCGTGCTTCCCCGCCCAGTGGAGAGCGAGGATGGAAGGAAGGAGAGATCTGGTGGCACAGAGGAGAGGTGGCCGCACACGTGGTGGGAACGCAGAACAAGACGTGCCTGTGTGGCGGTAATGTGCCTCAAGCCTTTTGAAGCCCGTGCTGCTTCTCGTGTCCCAGGCCAAGTTCCTGCAGCAGGACCGGGCTGAGCATGCAGCCCCTCGAGAAGTGCCCTCAGAGTCACCGACTGCACCGCCAGGGCCAGCACGATGGCAGCAGCGGCTTTGAGTCACCCCCTGGAGCTGTGCCCTGTCCTTTCACCGAAGGACCTTGGCCACTCAATTTCTGCACTGCTAAAATTGGCTCTGTGGGAATTTTGTTGGTGCTGAGTCTCCACACTGGGCCAACCACACCTTTGATGTCCTGGCCCTGTTGTGTGGGGAAGAGGAGGGATCCTGAGCAGTCTTGCACAATGAATACTCATGCCAAAGCTGGTGTCTGCATAAGCTCATGAAGCACTGCTTCTCCTTACTCGAACACGTGCTCCTTCTGCTGAAGGATTTCTAGGAACTGGCGCTCTGGTGCAGCACTGGGGCTGCTGGGGCAGGGCTAAGGCCAGGAGGCTGGGGCAAGGAGAGCTATGGGGACTGTGGCAATCACATCCAGAGTGGGGTTTTGGTTATTCTGCAGCAGCCCTGCTGCTTCCCTAAATCAGCAAAGCCACCCAGGCATTGCATCAGCACCCACAGAGCCTGGACACAGGCTCAGTGCTCTTACATGGGAGAGCAACTGGAACCCCCCAGAGCAGTGTTCTGTACTCTGACAGAGATGCAGGTGTGTGCACAACAGGGTGGGGAAAAGGGCCCTGCTTTGGGCTCTTGCTCACTCCTTCCTTCTCCCCAGCTCATGGATGGATCAGTCCCAGGTAATACATTAAGTTCCATGGAGGGAGAGCTGCAGCAAATGGAGGGGAATTTGACCAGGACATAAAGAAATAGTTTTCATTGAATCCCATTCTCGTGCATGCAACTGTGGCATTAACATTTCTGTAAGGGAAAGGTGCATTCCAGATTCAGCACAGACACTCTGATCACAATCTCCATCCCAGGCCAGGAGAAACAGGAAGAAGTGGATGCAAGGAGACAGCAAGCTGAGCATGGAAACACAAGCTTTTGGAAGAATGTAGGGAAGCTTTCAGCTCCAGAAGTGAAACCCAGAGCTGCAGGGAAGTGACACCTGCAGTGCAGTGTGGAGAGGTGGGAACAGGGCAGTGGGCTGCCAGCATGAGGACAGCATTCCAGCATGCTGGGGAGGTCAAGCAGCACATGTTCAACCTCCTGCTCTTGCCTGGCAGTTGAAGTGACTTGTGGCTTTCCCCACAGTAACCACTTGTTTTCAAGTGTTTCCAGCCTGGAAAGCTTGCCTCCAGCCTGGCTTCAACCCCAGGCAGCCGAGCAGTTTGCCAGGGGTAAGGACCTGTGTGACCCTTTGACTCTGGTGCTCAGCGTGTTGAGAACAAGCCCCTGTTTCACCAGCCTCACATTAAACTGGGGAGTGTGACCTGTGAGGCACTGCAAAATGAAGCCCTTGTGCCCAGAAAGAAGGTGCTTGTTGTGCTGGGGTCAGGCACCACTGCTGCAGCATTTTTGCACAGCACAGCTCAGCCCATGCCCGGGCTGCGGGGCAGGGATGGCCTTGGAAGGCCAGGCCTGGGCTGGTGTCACACAGCCCACGGACAGGCATTACTGTGCTTGTCAGCATCCCACCACTGGCGTCAGAGCCCTCCAGCTTCCCCTCTGATGTTGCCCTGGGTGTTCCTGCACTCTACCCTTGCAAAATCCAAATGCCTGCAGAGGCATCATTCTTTCAGCTTGGGGTGGAGGGAACACCCTCATCATCACGGGAAAGGAAGACGGGGGACAAAGGGTGTTGCCCACCCTCATCCCTTGCCACATCAGCTGAGGCTGACAGAGCACAGTGGGCAGGAAGGATGTACAGACCAGCAGTCTTGTGGGGTCTGGCTCAAAGACCAGTTTTGCAGAGGAAACAGGCACTGTCACCAACCGCAAAAACCAGGATCAGCCCCAAACCACTGAGTCTGTGGGGCAGAGCCACGGAAGGGCAGCTGCACAGCCCAGCAAAAGCAAGGGGAGCTGACAAAAGAGGAGATAGTGGCTGAGAGGGAGTTTAAGCAGAGGGATAAGAAGAACATCCACTTCTTGGACAAGTGCTGCAGCTCAGGAGGGACATGGGCAAGAGCTTGTGCAAGCACTCCTTCCTCCCTGTTTAGGCACAGTGGTGTAAGAGAGGCACCCTCTGAGATGCCAGTGCCAGCCCCTGCCTTGGCCACCAGACACAGGGTGCAGGGAGGGTGCAGGGCCCAGTCTGGCTCTTGACAGCAGCGTCAGTTTCTGCTCTGATCAATACAGCAGGATGGGCTGGGCCCTGCTATGACTCTCTGCTTTCGGGGACAGTGGCAGTAAGGCAGATGGTGGGGCTGGGTGCCCTGGGTGTGTTTGCTGCAGGGTGACATGGACAATGCCTGGCTGGTGCTTGGCAGTGGGGCGAGGAAGCCAGCTCCACCCTCCAAGCAGGGTAGAGCAGGCAGCTCTGCAGGTAGGTAGCACTGCAGGTAGGCAGCACGCATCCCTGGCAGCAAACACGCTCTACCCAAATTAAACAACTTGTCTGGCACTGGGACAGGGAGCAGACAACTCTATAGGGACTGTTTGTCCTGAGACAGGACAGCTCCATAACTAGCTTAATACCCTTCCTCTGATAACGTGCAGAGGCACACTCCATCGCAGCAGCACAAAGGGCAATGACCATGCACTCCATGGCTTTCAAATGGCTTCCTTCCCTTTTATACCCCACTTGATCATGCAGCACAGTGGGCCCACAGTCCCTGCTCACCTCTTTCATGCTGTGGTATCCTTGCCAGTTCCTGGGTGCTGACTTCTGCCAGCACCACACACAGCACCTGAGCCCAGCCTGTGTTGGCTGCTCTTCCCCTGCCTGCCGAACTGGAGGGTAGCCCACAGGGAAGGGCTTTACACAGGCCTGGACACTGCTCTCTCTGCTGGGTAAGGACCACTGGCACCTTGGAGGGATGAAAGTGGCCAGACAGGTCCATGACCCATGAGGAACACGTGCCCTTTGCTGCCACATCTCAAGTCCCCTGGAGAAGGGGCCAGCAGGGATATTCTGCTAGAAGTAAATGACCAGGCACTCCAGTCACCAGGCTTTGCAAGCTCGACATAGTGCAGGGGGACTGACAGTTAACCCACAAGCTATGTATGCTCAAGGCAGTACTGCTTTAGAGGGCAGAGAGATGCAGCAGGAAGCACTAAAATAGCCAAAGCCATGACTGAAGGCATCATTTTCATTGATAACAGCAGAGTAAAGCAGGGCTGGTGCCTGTGGAACAGTGGTGGTAGCTTCAGGCTCATGGCAATGGCCACCTGAGCCCACGGCTGCCTGCAGCCTGTCTCTAGAGCCCTACGGCAGCCTGGGAATCCTTCCAGCTACATACACCTTGACAAGAGACTACTGCAAGCAAGCAGGCAGGAAAAACAGAGGTTCAGACCAGCCTTGCTCTGTGCTAGCAGCTGAGTGCTGGAGCTCAGTGCACCCAGAAAAGCAGGAGAAGGAGCAAAATCCAGATTGTTTAAGAGTACAGCTGGGGGATGGCGTAATCAAAACTGAGACAGGCAGAAGATATCTGCAGCTGGTTCAATATATATTCCACATTTCTGCAAACCCCAGCTGTCCTATACAACCCCAGTTCCCACAGAGCCACCAGTGGGATGCCTGCAGTGCTGGATGGTGGAACATGTTACGGGAGCCCTTGCACACCCCCAGCTGATGCAAGGAGCCCAGTTCATGTAATCACTGCACCAGGTGCAGGAGGCCCTACAGCAAAGCATTTGTGATCATGCAGTAACCAAAAAGGGGTTAATCTGTAGTAACCAGGAGAAAATGCAAAGTGAAAACAAAGCAAGCATTTCATGGAGGGGCAGCAGACAGGTTGCGGCAGTGCATGTGAGTTTTTTTGTCAGTGCAGCAGCCAAAGGAATGCAGAAAAGCAGGGTGCCATTAATGGGACCAAGACACTGGTGCTGAGCTGGGAGCACAGACAACCATACATATGGCAAAGAAGAGAAGCAAATGAGTAATCACCTCTGAAATAAAAGGCAGGAAGAGCTTGAGAAGAGCTGTGGCACATAATCAAAATCTTTGGTTCTGGCAGTCCCCATTTTGTCAGGCCCCTCAACAC